TTAAAATCATATTATGTTTATTGAGTTCATATCTTGGTCCAAGGTTTAGAATGATATTCATTTTGTACCAATAAGTTTTCTTCTCAAATCATCATGAAGAAAATTATTATCGTATGAAAGTACTCTGTAAAAAGGAAAGATTCACTTGGATGTTTAGGGGCCACACATGCATTTATGAACTAGGAGATGTGATTCCCCCTTTGGGTAGCTGTACGAATTGGGGGAAGTCATTTAAATTCTCTGAGCCTCACTTTCCTTTTCGTAAAATTAAGGGCTGGATCTAGCTTGTCTTGAAATTACTGTGGAATTAGAAATCTGTGATTCTTCCGAAGCACCTTAGATTAAGCACTTACATGTGCATTTACACTGCAAACGATCACATAACAACTGCACAAAGCCTCTCAATAAATTCCTGGGAAATAATTTGACAATGTGACCAAATTATAAGTAGCTCTAGTTGTCTAACACATATAAAAAGGTAAAAAGCTTTTTCAACTTGGTGCAGGAAAGATGATTATCTCAGCCTTTTTAGCTTTTTCTCATTGTCCTGAGACATAAGTATCAAGGAAATAGAAAGTAGAAATTCTGCGTATTTACTCCTGATGCTGATAACATGTAAATTTGGCATTCTAGAATAACAACATCTCCAGCAGCAACTAAGATATGCATGTTTCAGAACTGAGAAACTTTTAAAATCCCCTTTTAAGCCATGTGGCCACAGAAGACTCTTAATAATTGATTATAATTGATTTTAACCTTGTCCTAACCTGGGCAAAATGGCAAAGCCAATCATCTTTGTCCAGATGGGGTATGAGAAAAGAGCCCCCAGTCCACATCTTTAAAAGCTCCAGACATGAGCAGAAGATAAAATATTTAGTCTGCCAAAGCCTTGACCTCCCAATTCCAGCCAGTTTTGAACTTGAATTGATTTCCGACAAGGCATCTGGGAGATGATTACAACAAAATGCACTAAAGCTGGGCAGCCTTTATTTTAACATCCCAGCAGCTTAACCTGTTAATAACAGCAATTGTTTTAGATACAATACCAATTTCTGTAACCGAAGCAAGAAATGGATAACAGCAGCACAGTCTCCCAGGCAGTGCAGTAACGACAACAACAAAAAAGCACAGCCAGTCACATAGGAGATGCTGGCAGTGTTTTCCGAAGATACTTCAGTTTTCAGGGACCCAGACACAATCAGGGACCCAATTCTACAGTCTAAAAAAAAATCCTTAGTGAAAGGAGGTTGCAGGTTTAGAGAGAAATCCCTGTAAGCTGGGCGATCTGGAATCACATCTGCGTTCTGCCGAGGAAAGCTGGGCTATCTCAGGCAGGTCACCTCACATCTCTATGCCTAATTTGATTTGTTTGAAACAGTGCTGCCCAGTAAGAACATACTGTGAGCCACAAATGGGAACTCATATGTAATTTTAAATTTTCTAGTAGCCCCACATTAAAAATAAAGTTTTAACAAGGCAAATTAATTTTAATCTTATTTAATATGTCGAAAATATAGTAATTTCAACATGTCACCAATACAAAATTATTCAGGCAATATTTTACGTTTACTTTTGTACTAAGTCTTCAAAATATGATGTATATTTTACACTTACAGCATATTTTAATTCAAATTAGCCACATCCCAAGTGCTCAGTAGCCACATGTGGCTAGTGGCTACCATATTAGACATCACAGGTTTGAAAAATGAGCAAGTTGGACTAATCATCTCCAAGGGCTTCTCTATAACATGTCATGATGATTCTAAATGTTGCTTTTGCTGCTCTTCATTTTAAAACAACTACAGGTTGAAAGTGTAGATGTGGCCTGTTCGCGGCTGAGATCAGGATGTTAGAGTGATAGTAACTGTGGGCACCAGTTTGAGCTTAGCAATCAGTCTGCACTGATGTGTAGACACCGCCTTCAACCCTCTCCCTGGTCAGCTGTGTTACACCCAGTTGGTCATAAGTGGTTTAGAGTGGGTGGACAGAGTAGGTAGTTGCATAAATTTTCATGACATCGCCCAACATGTTCTATTAAATGAAATGATAAACAGCATCCTCATCATCTATTGAGCACGATCTATATACCATTCATGTTGCATATACAAAGTCATTTAATAATATCAACCACTCTTTGAAGTAGAAATTATTAATCTGGTTTGGTAGGTGGGGGACTGAGCCTTGAAGAGACTATTCAGTCTGCCCAATGTCAGACTCCTAGAAAGTATGGTGTGTGCATTTGAACCCAGCTTCTCCAGACCCCAAGACTAGTCTCTTGACTACCACGATATACTGCTTTACAAACAAATAATAGCTTTTGGTCTTCTACGTCACTCCTGTGAAGGTCTTCCAAATTGTAAAGATAGTGAAGAAGAGGTCTAGAAAGGCTAAAGATGCTGCTTTCACTTTTTAATGACTGAGAAAGTCAGAAACAGCACAGCAGATGATAACATTCTAATAAACATATACTCCTCTTCTCTCCCAGTCGTGCATACCTGCAAATAAGGAAGGAAGAAAAAAGGAAGGAAGGGAGAGAGAGAGGGATGGAGGAAGAAAAGGAGGGAGGGATGGGGAGAGGCAGGGAAGGAGGAAGGAAGGAAGGAAGGAAGAAAGGAAGGAATGAAGGAAGGAAGAAAGGACTCACCAAGCACTGTGGCATTTCTACAGAGCCTCAAGGCTCTGGCCAGAGAACCAGGGCAACATTGTCTCTCTCTTAAACATGGGTTGCACATCCATGAGTCAAACTCAGACCACAATACACAAATTGCAGCTTTTGATACATACATCATTCCTAGTGAAATGTGGAGGAAGCCTCCTTTAAACACTGAATATGCCTATGCTCAGAGACTCTTGCTTAAAAACAGACTCCTGCCATCTCCTTGCCACCAGACTGTCAATGCCAAGAGGAGAAATTTTAAATACCTAGATTTTATATATTTACAAGAATTTCATATACCATCATATTAAACAATTGATATTCCTTTCTACATTGGGAAATGGTCAGGCATGGAAAATGCAACTGTATAAAGTTATTTCTGTTACATTGTATGCTACTTTTCTTTTCTGATGTTTGAGGGTATAGAGATAGGTCAAATTGGTAATCTGGTGTAAACAGTTGCTTGTGAAAAACACATGCGAGCTGCACTGTTGACTTGATTTAAAACTAACCTTCCTATAGAGACTTTTGGGAGGGGCCCAGTGGCCAATCTGCAGATAGCTCTCTATAGCTGGGCCATGACATACCCATCACTTGTGAACTAATCTAGAGTCACAAAGTCTAATCACCCCTGTTTGTTGTGTCTTGACTTCATGAGTCACTATATTATGGCTGTAAGTAGACTCTTCTTCAATTTGGCCAACTAAATGTTAAGATTTTATATACACAGGATGATAACAGTTTATACTTTTTGCATGCTTACTCTGTACCAAGCCCTGTTCTGAGTGCTTCATGTGGATTATTTAGTCCTCATCAGATAGGTACCCTTATTATGCCCATTTTACATATGAGGAACCTGAGATACATACTGCTTATAAATAATAATAAATAATATGGCTCCGATTTTTCTCTTATCCTGATCTTCCAGTACATTTCTCATAGTTTCCTTAGCACCTTCCATCCAGCCATAACCTCAGCTTCACCTAGGCCTTAGTCTATCCCTCATTCTCGATCCTGTCACTTATCGGCAGTAGAGGAGGTTTTTGTGTATTCTACTAGTTATTTATTACTGCCTAACAAACTACCTCGGAAAGTTGTGGATTAAAATTAAGAACAATTTTATGTGTTTTACCACAATTTTTAAAATTTTTTAAAAATTTGTCAAAATAAAAAAGTAAAAACAATTTTATTTTATTATGATTCTGCGGGTCAAAAATTTAGACTGAATTCAGCTAGACAATTCTTCCACTAGTTTTACCAGGAGTCACCCATGCAACTATAGTCAGGCATCTCATGGCTCAACAAGAGCTAGATGATCTAAGATGGCTTCATTGACATGTCTAGAGATTGGTGCTGTCAGCTGGGCCACTTGTCTCCAGCAGGCCAGCCACTGCTTGTTATCACGGCAACTGAATTCCAAGTCCCAATCTGCATGTTTAAAGCCTCTGCTTGCATCACATTTACTGATGTCCCCTTGACCAAAGCAAGTCTCATGGTCAAGCCCAGGATCAAACTTGGAGGAAACTACACAGGGTATAGGTCCATAACGATCTAACACATAATAAACACGTTACATATTCTCCCTTTTCTTTCCAAATGATCAAAACAACGCAAGCCCAAGCAGAAGACTGAATAAGAGAAGGAAATCCAAATGTCCTACGAAGCCAAGAATATATCAAATTCTAAATTTGGCCTTAAGTTTGAGCCTCAGATGTAAATGAATACCAAGTCCCATATTTCCACTGAAATATATTTCTTTTCATATCATGTTTTGGAAAGATGGCCACCAGTTTTGTATTTAAATGAAAAACAATATTTCATTTGAGGGCAAAACAATACTGAATATTTTTTACAAGACTCTGCTGGATGATGACAATGGCTAGTGCTGTATTTTTGCCATGGAACTTTTGTTTTACTGAACCACTAAAATTACAATCAGATGTGTTGATCTTCTGTTGAAGTAATGAACAATGGTATGTCTGAGAGAGAATTTCAAAGTGCATCATTTATCTTATCCTATTTTCAATTAGGCCGAATAAAATATAAAGTTGGTTCCAAACTACATCACAGAAACAGGGTGAGTAAATTTATTATACCACTAGAGTGCTAATCTTAGCAGATGGTAGAAAAAATATTTTTAGCATGAAATATGCTAAAGTAATAAATCTGAACAAGGTGGATCTTATCAACTAATATCTCCCCAGTGTGAGGTAAAACTCCTGCATGACAACTCAGCATTCTTATGAAGTCTGGTGGATGTGGTTAGATATGGCCCTCAGTGAGAAGAGAAAAACAACAAAAATGAGGATCAAATAAGACAACAAACCATACACCCAGGGCACTGCACTGAACTGAAAAAATAGAATGAAGTGTCTGTGCTACGTTTTAAATGCTCTTGAATTTTATTTCTGAAGTCATGCCTACTCCAGAGTCTTGTCAGTTCTCCCCCTGGGAAATTTCCAAATTGGAAAATTTACAAGAGGTCTCTATTAAGTCAGTTTTAGAGCAGAGGTGAGCACACACAGTCACACATTACTACAGATCACCATTAGCCAAGGCAAGCATCCAATGAGAGAGCCCAGGAAGAGGGCTCTTACAAACTGGGCTCTGGCTTAGGATATCTGAATGAGAGCTCTGAGTCCCATGGATGCATTTGGTTCATGGCTCTTCAGTATCCAGCTTCTAAGCCCAAGCAGATGGAGTAGGTTGCTCCTTCAGAATAGATAGCATGTGTTCCACTTTCAAAGGAATATGTACAAATTGGAAGAGGAAGAAGTACTAGAGGTAAAGCTAAGATGTGTTTGAGAAGTCTGTCTGAGAGGTAGTTGAGCTAGATATTTTTCAAGATGGCCATAAACTATGTGTTTTATGGCCACTTCATACCTGATTAATGTGCGTGTTCACAGAAGTGATGTACTAGAGTAGATGAGAGTGGTGGTGGGTCTGGAGTCAGAACACAAGGAATTTATGCCCAAGTCTGCCTCTAGTGTTGCATGTGACCTTGAACTCATTATGTGATTTTTCCGGGCTTTAAATTAATTATCTACAAAATAAAGGACTGGAACTCTAATGTCACTACATAAAGAATGAGTGTAAAGAAGGAATGAGTCAGAATCATTAGGACAAGTTGCATTTTAGGTGAGCAAACAACAAACAGGACCAGTGACTCAGATGTCTAGGCATTCTTCTTAAGTAATCCTGGCAATATGTCAAGTTATTTGAATTACGCTTTGTTCGTTAGCTTGAATTGAAAACAAAGCTAAAACCATTAAGATGTGGAAGAAATTTGTCTGGACAAATGATGAGATACCATCTTAAATTTACTTTACTTTCCATAGTCTATACTTTCCATGGTAATAGAGGTAGTTGTTAGAAATGAAGGATTGAGAGTTCAAGAAAGAAAGGACTCTGGTTGACGAAGAGTGCGTGTGGGGAAGGGGAAGTGGATATGGAGCTATGTAGGCCACTCCCGGCTCTTTCCCTGGTGTTCTCCACATGCAGACTCTCTTGCTTGAATCTCTGCTGCCTCAGGGTTAGCACATTTATAGACAAAAACACAGCTCTCGTGGGAAGGTGGGATTAGGGAGGGGGTGAGGCATATGCGTTGCTGTCCATGGTTCTGACCATTCTACTGCTGTTTTGTCTGTTTCTCCTCACCATGGGACACCACTGATGATCTTTCTCCAATTTATCCAAAACAGAACAAGGATTTCTAAATTAGTTGCAGAAGAGACTGGATAAAAAGGTGTGGAGAAAGACTGAAGAAGAGACACAGGCACTGAGAGATTACAAGGGAGAAACAACAAAAATATGATGATAATTTAAATAATCACAGGTACCATAAATAAAACCACAAATTACCATGGCCCAAATATGGAAGTACTTGAAGAGAGTACAACATTTCTGCCCAAAGCTACACAATCATAGCAAATCCTGATATAAACAAGCACGTTTAGGGTAAGGGTGCAGAAAATCAATTTAGTACAATAAAACTCATTGGTTGAATTACACCAAAGAACTTACAGCTTTCTTTGGCTTAGTATTTTCCCTCTTGATGACATTTAGCAATTTTACAGGATCACAGAACAAACAGAATGGTTACTTATTTTGCATTTCATGTAGCTAATTCCATGTACATTTGGCAGTTCTGCCATGTTTTCCATAGTATCCCTTGAAGAAATAAGGGGTGGGACTTCCCTATACCCCCTCAGCTGTGTTTATGTGTCTCAATCAGGGATATGGCTCATGATAAAGAATGCTAGTTGTACCCCAATATCTGTTCTCCCATTTTTCTATAGTAGTAGAATATTCAGCCAGGACTCTTCAGAATTAAGATTACATTTCATAGTCTCTCAGCAGTAATGGGTGGCCAACAGACTAAGTTCCAGTCATTGAAATGAAAGTGGAAATGTCCTTCTGCCATCTTAAAGAATCCTGTCTTGAGAGAGAGAGAGACAAGTGTCTCTCCTTTGTTCTCTTCTTCACCTGTTCTCTATCTTGCAGCCTGCACTGACAGCGCCACAGGAGAGTGTGAGGTTGACGACTCTAGTCCAGGGGTGATGGAGTAGGGATTTGGAAGGACCAAGGGGGAACAGAGCTGCCATGCATCCCTGGACTTCATTCCTCTGGAATATCATGTTAGAGGGAAATAAGCATGTATGTTTTCCCCTAAGCCATTGCTATTTTTTTCTGTTACCAGCAGCTGAACCTAATCCTAATTAATACACTATTCTCCAACATATGATGAATGCACAGCAAATATTGGCTCATGTATACTCAATTTAAAAAAAAGGAATCTAAAGAAAAATAACAAACCGACAAGCAAAAGAGTTCCATGAAGTCCTTTTATTCGTACATGAAGCAGGAATCCCCAAATATAAAAGTGTTGAAACTAGAGTTGCTTTTCATCAAAATAAATAAATTAAATAGCTTTTCCAAAATAACTTATTTACAACATGATATTTCATAAGAAATAATTTTCTTCCTCCAAACATTCTCCTCACTCTCACTCCTTACCCAGGAGAAATACAGTAACTTCACAATAAACCTTTTAAGTGGATGACAATGACAAGCTTGAAGTCATCATCCACTAAAAATGAGTTAGCTGTCCTAGCTTTCTAGGTTCCCCAAAGTGATTGGGGCTCTCTCTTCCTGGTGATATAGGTGTGCACTTTAAACTGATTTTTGCACAAAACTTAGTATTTTCATGCAGCATTAGGAGTGGCCAGAATCCCATTAACTCTGCCCCTTATGGAAATTGCTGTGACCCTTATTTCCTGCATTTGGACCAACTGTCAATTGTCTCTGAATGTGCAAGATGGTGGAGATTTTGTATGCAGGCAGGCTGTGCTTCAAAATGGACAACCAGTTGAGAACACCTTTTAGAAAGGACCAGAAATTCCCCTCCTGAGGCCCCTCCTTTCCCTCTTCTTACTGCCTGGGAAATGCCAGGAAAGTTTAAAATTAATGGTGACCAATTGAAGAAGAAAAGGAAATCAAAGAAACATTTATTCCCTGAGACGCAGCCCTATTTCTTTCCCCTTTACACACGAGCACAGACTGTTTCTGTCAACTCTGGTTTTTGTGGACAGGATGGGATAGGGAAAAGCCCCTACAGAAGATAGAAAGAAGTTGTTAAACACCAGCAAAAAATTTTTTATGGTTTTATTTATTTTTATTCAATTTATTTAAACTAAATAAAAAACAAAACAAAAACAGTTCTCCCATTTCTCCCGCCGCCCAGGCTCCAGCTCGTGCAATCACCCATCCATTCTCTGTGCAGTCGTTCCCCCTTAGCTGCCGTTTCACTTTCCAAAGTTTCAGTTACCCGCGGTCAACCACGATCTGAAAATATTAAAAGGAAAATTCTAGAAAGAAACAATTCATAAGTCTTAAATTGTGTGCCATCCTTAGTAGAATGATGAAATTTCACACCGTCCAGCTCCATCCCGCTCGGGAGGTGAATCATCCCTTTGTCCAGCTTTTCCAGGCTGTATACCCTGCCCACCCATTAGTCACTTAGTAGCCAGCTCCATGATCAGATCGACTGTTGCAGTATTGCAGTGTTTATGTTCAAATAACCTTTACTTTACTTAATAATGGCTGCAAAAGTAGCGATGCTGGCAATTCAGATATGCCAAAAAGAAGCCATAAAATGCTTCCATTAAATGAAAAGGTGAAAGTTCTCAACTTAATAAGGAAAGAAAAAAAGCATATGCTGAGGTTGCTAAGATATACAGTAACTCTTATTACAGTATATTGTAATAATTGTTCTATTTTACTATTAGTTACTGTTGTTAATCTCTTACTGTGCCTAATTTATAAATTAAACTTTATCACAGGTATGTATGTATATGACAAAACATAGTATACATAGGGTTTGGTGCTATTCACAGTTATAGGCATCTACTGGAGTCTTGGTATGTATCCCCCCGAATAAGGGGAGACTATGGTATGAGCTTGTTTTATCTTTATTTTTTTTAGATTCTACAAATAGGAGAGATCATACGATTTTTGTCTTTCTCTGTCTGATATTTCACTTAGCATAATGCCCTTGAGGTCCATCCATGTTGTCACAAACAGCAAGATTTCATTTTTTCTATGGCTGAATAATATTCCACTGTATATATATATATCACAATTTCTTTATCCGTTCATCCGTCGATGAACACTTAGGCTCTTTCTATATCTTGGCTATTGTAAATAATGCTGCAATAAACATGGGGGTGCAAATATCTTTTCAAATTAGTCTTTTCATTTTCTTTAGATAAACATCTAAAATTGCTGGATCACATGTTAGTTGTATTTTTGACGATTTTGAGGAAACTCCATACTGGTTTCAGAAGTGGTTACACCAATTTACATTGCCACCAACAGTGCACAAGAGTTCTTTTTTCTCTACATCCTTGCCAATGCTTGTTTTTCTTGTCTTTGTGATAATAGCCATTCTGATAGGTGTGAGGTGCTATCTCACTGTGGTTTTGATTTACATTTTTCTGATGATTAATGATGCTGAGCATCTTTTCATACACCTATTGGTACATTTTTTATGGTTTTAAATCTCATGTGAATACAATATACAACAGGGCCATAAACTTTTCTCAAATTCTGTTAATGTTATTGACTCTAAAAACTAGGATCCGGGCCAGCCTGGTGGCACAGCGGTTAAGTTCGCACATTCTGCTTCTCAGTGGCCTCGGGTTCGCCAGTTCAGATCCTGGGTGCAGACATGGCACGGCTTGGCACGTCATGCTGTGGTAGGCGTCCCACATATAAAGAAGAGGAAGATGGGCATGGATGTTAGCTCAGGGTCAGTCTTCCTCAGCAAAAGAGGAGGATTGGCAGTAGTTAGCTCAGGGCTAACCTCCACCCCCCCCCCCCCAAAAAAATCTAGGAACCTTAGGATTAAAATCCAATATAAAAGATATACAAGGCAGCATTTTATGCACCAGCAACAAAAGATTTCTAATTCTTCCCTAGAAGGCCATAAATACTTCAATTCCAATCTACTAGGACACATAACTAATATCAGTAGCCACGGGGACTGCAGTCACTGGAACAGGCATCCACAAGAAGATCAAGGTGCTTGGTGAGTCTACTTCAGAACACTAGGCTAATGAGGCAAAGGTGTTCATGCTCTAATCCCCACAAAGACCCCTTAGTTGATCCAAAGCTATTGATCTCCCCTAATTGCTTAATTTCAGCTGAGATTTGATATTGGCTACAAGGGGAACTGAGTGAGAATGTTTGGATGACTCAGGACAAGACATTCCTATTATTTGGAAGATAAGGCACAGCATATGTCTGACTAATCAGAGTCACTAATACCATCTTCATTTGTATAAGAGACAGAAATAACTGTTATTAGCCAGCTGACTTTGCTATCTAAGCAAGTTGGTCCCCAGTCAACTCCAAAATAAGAGGTGAGAACTCTTCCGCTGGTAGCATTCTATTTATCCAAAGGAGATTTTTTTCTTGATGTGTTAGAAACATAGGAAAGCAACGGGAGTAGAAAGTAGAGGAAAATGACTCTACTGATGTGGCACATTGGGTAGATGTGTGCAATGGAGCTCAAGGCTGATACTCTGCTTTTTCTGGGCTGCTTCACCACCTCTGATGTATCTCACTTTCCTCCTCCTTAACAATGTTGGATATTAATCTCAGGTTCTCCAAGGAGGAACAGAGTGAAAACACACTTAATCAGAAATTTGAGAAATGGCTATGTGACTTCCCTTTCCTCCTGTTTTTTTAAAAAAATGTATTTATTTATTTTTCTTTCTTTTTTTTTTTTGAGGAAGATTGGCCCTGAGATAACATCTGTGCCCTTCTTCCTCTATTTTATATGTGGGATGCCTGCCACAGCATGGCTTGATGAGCACTGTGTAGGCCCATGCCCGGAATACAAACTGGTGAACCCCGGACCGCTGAAGCAGAGCATGCAAAATTAATCTCAACAGGCTGGTCCCTCCTTCTGCTTTTTTATGCTCCTCAAAGGGGGCTAGAAACTTTGCTGAAGCATGTGTGGAGATGGCAGGAATTCTGTCATTCCCCACTACCAGTGTCCCTGAGTAGTCAGAAAATTCCCATCCCTACCCAATCTGCATACAGGAAAATGTCAATGTTCTTGTAATTAAAACTCCACTTGCAATCCCAGGTCATGTTACACTATATCATCCATTTAACTTTCTTGTGATTGATCTGTGTCAACTTTAACTATACTCACAAAGAAATCAATAAATAAAGATCAATAGTTTTTTATTTCTTTGGCTTTTTTATTAGAAAGAATAGATGGATTAGATAACACGAGCAATGGCAGTAGCACAGAGCCTCCCCCAGTGCTTTCCTTGGTAAAAACTATACTAAAACAAATCAGATTTAAACTCACAAATGGGATTGCATTGTCATCTGATCTGTCATTAAGTTGCCTTCAGCACTTTTAAACACAAATATTGGAACAAACAGGGTTTGCACGTATCTGTCCTCTCTGAGATGAATTCTCTTCACGTTATGCCCGGTGAACCTCTTATTCGCCAAATACCTAGCTTTTGCAGCTCTGGTTTAATGTATTAACAACCTCTCAAGACTGAGTGGTGCTCTATGTATGAAGAAATTTCATGTTCAGCTGGACAAATGTGCAATTCCTTGTTCAAAGAAGGGAAGAGAAGGCTGGATGATACTTTATGTGGATTGAAAGGTGTTATGGACAAGCATCTGGGGATGACTCAGTTGTGCATAGACCCCACCAGCCGAGAGCTACAATGGGGTCCTGGAGGGCCTTACCTCTTCAGGTGTTAAGGCTTCAGTTGCCAGATCTTGAGAAGGTCTGGGGGGATGTGGGGGAAGAAGGGGCCGGTAGCAGGGAAAGAGTGGTTCTAAGAGACGGGTTAGGGCTTCCAGGGTGATAATGAGAGGGCACTTACAGGACATGAGGCAGAAACGATCAAACATTCAATAGAGAAAGATTTCAATGCTTTGATACGCAGAATGACTGCACAAGTAGGAGTTAGGGGCTGAATGTCAGCTAACTCTAGAGAGAACTAAGTAATATACACACACACACAAAACAGACCAGAAGTGTGACCTTCACCAACTTGCCTTACATAGAAAATAAGGCTTCCAAAATCTGTGATTTTTGTAATGAATAATGGGGAGGTTGAAACCTTTGGTCAGTTTCTTATCAGTCAATTCCATTTTAGACAGTGTTCTTACATAGAAAATAATCATTTCTCTGATTTATTATCCACGTATTCCCTCAATCCAGCCTCAAAACAAAAGGACATGGAACAAATTGAGGAAAGTTTATAACTTTATTCCAAGTTCCAACTTTCTGTAAAGCCAGAATTGCATGCAGCCACCTCCCTGTTGTACACTGCCACCCAGATGTCCCAATGGCACCTAAAATGAATCCTGCCCAACTGCATTATCTTCATCTCCAAACTGTGTTCTCTTCTTGTTCTTGAGGAACCTCCATGTTTCCAGTAACTCAGATGTGAAAAGCACTCATTACTTTTGAATACTTCCTCTGCCTTGTTCCCTACATTCACTGAGTACATTGTGATGTCTCTTTCATTGATACCCTTAACACAATTTGATAAAAAATTTAAGTATCAATATGAAAGATATTAATGAAGAGACAGATTCTCTGTCTTCAAAATGTTCCTATTTAGTATGGGCAACAAGCGAGTACATAAAGAATTGTATATCATACAATGCATTATACAGAAGTGCCACAAGACACACATGAATAAAACATGATGGCTGTTCAAGAGTGGAGAGGAACACAGTTAGTTGAAGATCTCAGGGAGACTGAGGGAGAATTCAGAGCTTGAAAGACAGGGAGAAATTTATTAGAAAGAAAGAGGTGGTGGAATGGGAGAAAAATCCAAATAGAGATGGAAGAATAGCCTTGAGCAAAGGTTAAGGAATAAGAAAAGACAAATTTGGTTTCAGAAACACTGCAACCACTTTGACTAAAGTGAAAAGTTTCTGTAGGACAGAATAGTAATGAGGAATAATACCCAAATGTTAAATTGAACTCATATTACGAAGGCTCTTGAATGCCAGGCTGAGGCATCGGTCCGTAACTGAGAGGGCAAGACATTGCCTAAAAGTTCATGCTAGGTCAGTGCACGGTACTGCTTTGCATGTGGGGGAAAGTGCTCTCATTGCTGGTGAAATGTGGATTGCTAAGCTTTTTAAGAAAACATTCCATCAACATTTATCAAAAATAAACAGACTCTTTATCTCAGCAATTATTCTTCTGGGAACCCGCCCTGTAGAAACATCAGCCCACTAGGATACATACAGTACAAGCACAGTTTTTGGACAATTGTTTCAAATCAGTA